TAAGTGTCATCTACGTGAAAATTTTAGAGAATTCCATCTTTTTAATTGTGGTTAGTGAAACTTTTGCTTATACAGACAAAACTGGTAACCATGGGAATATACAGTTTTTCCAAACTTGCTTCTTTTGGTAGACTTTGGGACTCGTTGGCTGCCCAGCACTTACTGACCAGGTGTGTTTCCTGCTTTAAAGAAACTGCCTGGTGGTTATGTCAGTCTCACCACCTAAGTATGGCAAGATTCGGGTCCCACTGAATTCTTTTTAAAATGCAAAAGGCATTGAAGGACTGAAAGGCTGCAGTTCTTTTGTGCTCCTAGCATGTGAGCAGGGGAAGACTGTTAGCTGGGCTAGCTCTGCCACCTGCAGCTCAGAGTCGGCAGGACTGCGACGTCTTCACCATCAGCGTAACAAACCTTCGCTACTGGAAATGTGAAAATTCTCATGGAGACAAGAGGTTTCACTGAAGAGGGTAATTGCTAGTTAAATTAGCAATAGAATACGTAAGATTATGGTATGCAAAAGTAAGGTAAAAGAGAGCTTTCACATTGGTCTTTCTGCTAATTTTCACTGCTATCAGAATGCGCGTCTATTCTCAGAAAAGAATAGAAACCCCGTGTTAGAACAAAAATCATAAGGCTAAAACCATTCTTGGTGTGACTGGAGTGTTCTCAGAGCTGAATCTGACCCCTTACCTATGAAGGCTGATTTTGGCTCTGCTGATAACTGAAGTATTACAGGAAATTACGTGTGGATCCATATTCTCAGAACCCTCTAACTCCTGTCTGCAGTGCCTCCAGTATCTCCTCATATAACTCCCTTCTTAAAACACACTGTTTTCTGAAACCTATAAATGCTAGTCTTCTCCTCTAAAAAAGAGTCATTAAAAAAATAAAATAAATCAAATCCTTCCAGATGTATTTTACTAACACAAAAAACCATGTGCTTTATTATGTTCCCTACTTTCACTTCGCTGAGCCCCAAGGGTATAACATTACCATTTTCTCAAGTTGGATCCAAGCCCTGTAATTGATGAATTGTCCATAGGATACATATGGAACTCTACCAAAATCATTGACACTCTATACAGCACCAAAATGCATGCATATGTCCCAGTGTGTGCTGGGCACCCACAAATATAAACTTTTCATGCCAATGACTTCTCTTACTGTAAAGCGCTGTGTTCATCTCTAGCAATGGATCCAACTCACAGCTATGACACAGTGAAA